CCCTGGCACAGTGTGTGTGTGTGTGTGTGTGTCACCATCCTCCCTGGCACAGTGTGTGTGTGGTACCATCCTCCCTGGCACAGTGTGTGTGTGGTACCATCCTCCCTGGCACAGTGTGTGTGTGATACCATCCTCCCTGGCACAGTGTGTGTGTCATACCATCCTCCCCTGGCACAGTGTGTGGTGTGTCATACACCATCTCTGGCACAGTGTGGTGTGTGATACCATCCTCCCTGGCACAGTGTGTGTGACCACCATCCTCCCTGGCACAGTGTGTGTGATACCATCCTCCCCTGGCACAGTGTGTGTGACCACCATCCTCCCTGGCACAGTGTGTGTGTGATGCCATCCTCCCTGGCACCAGTGTGGGTCCTTACCAATCACCCTGGCACAGTGTGTGTCATACCATCTCCCTGGCACGTGTGTACCATCCTCCCCTGGCACAGTGTGTGTCATACCATCCTCCCCTGGCACAGTGTGTGTGTGTGTGCCACCATCCTCCCTGGCTGGTGTGTGTGTGATACCATCCTCCCCTGGCACAGTGTGTGTGTGATACCATCCTCCCTGGCACAGTGTGTGTGTGGTACCATCCTCCCCTGGCACGGTGTGTGTGATACCATTCTCCCTGGCACAGTGTGTGTGTGTGATACCATCCTCCCTGGCCTTTTGGTGTGTGTGTGATACTCATCCTCCCTGGCACAGTGTGTGTGTGATACCATCCTCCCTGGCACAGTGTGTGTCATACCATCCTCCCTGGCACAGTGTGTGTGTGTCATACCATCCTCCCTGGCACAGTGTGTGTGTGTCATACCATCCTCCCTGGCACAGTGTGTGTGTCATACCATCCTCCCTGGCACAGTGTGTGTGTGTGATACCATCCTCCCTGGCACAGTGTGTGTGTGTGATACCATCCTCCCTGGCACAGTGTGTGTGTGGTACCATCCTCCCTGGCACAGTGTGTGTGATACCATCCTCCCTGGCACAGTGTGTGTGTGTGATACCATCCTCCCTGGCACAGTGTGTGTGTGATACCATCCTCCCTGGCAGAGTGTGTGTGTCATACCATCCTCCCTGGCACAGTGTGTGTGTGTGATACCATCCTCCCTGGCACAGTGTGTGTGTGATACCATCCTCCCTGGCACAGTGTGTGTGTGATACCATCCTCCCTGGCACAGTGTGTGTGTGATACCATCCTCCCTGGCACAGTGTGTGTGTGATACCATCCTCCCTGGCACAGTGTGTGTGTGATACCATCCTCCCTGGCACAGTGTGTGTGTGGTACCATCCTCCCTGGCACAGTGTGTGTGATACCATTCTCCCTGGCACAGTGTGTGTGTGTGATACCATCCTCCCTGGCACAGTGTGTGTGTGATACCATCCTCCCTGGCACAGTGTGTGTGTGATACCATCCTCCCTGGCACAGTGTGTGTGTGATACCATCCTCCCTGGCAGAGTGTGTGTGATACCATCCTCCCTGGCACAGCATGAATGGCCTCACCTCTAGATCCGTGTCTCCGGCCTCGGTCACCCCGATTTCGCTCGGTAACTCGGCCAGGTCGGTGACCCGGATCAAGCCATCATGTAAGAAGATGGTCTCCTCCTTGACAGACAGCCACTGAGCAGAGTCCCCAGCCGCAGGCGCCGATCCCATGGTGTCCTCCTCAGCAGCCCCCGGGCCGCTCCCTCACCCTCCGCCTCTCACCATCACCCGGTAACCAACAACCATCACCCCACCGCCCTAAAACAGCGCTGCCAGGCCCGCTCTCTCCCCTTGCCCTCCGCAGCGAGCACTCAGTAACGATACCCGGGATGTCACGCGCTCTCCCCGCCTCCCCCAGTGAGCTCCAAGCCGGTGCACGGGACCGCAGTGCCAGAACTGTCAGCAAGACGCCATTTTGGCTGGAGGAGCGCACCCAGCATGCACCGCTCCGCCTATACCTGTCTGTGTGGCTGGGGCTGCACATGGGGAGTGCTGGGCATCAGGATCAGTAGGGATACAGGCATAGCACAGGGGTACAGAGACATAGCACAGGGTTACAGAGACATAGCACAGGGATACAGGCATAGCACAGGGGTACAGAGACATAGCACAGGGTTACAGAGACATAGCACAGGGTTACAGAGACATAGCACAGGGATACAGAGACATAGCACAGGGATACAGAGACATAGCACAGGGTTACAGAGACATAGCACAGGGTTACAGAGACATAGCACAGGGTTACAGAGACATCACAGGGTTACAGAGACATAGCACAGGGATACAGAGACATAGCACGGGGTTACAGGGCACTAGCACAGGGGGTACGAGGGCATAGCACAGGGATGCAGAGACAGCACAGGGTTACAGAGACATAGCACAGGGTTACAGAGACATCACAGGGTTACAGAGACATAGCACAGGGATACAGAGACATAGCACAGGGTTACAGAGACATAGCACAGGGGTACAGAGACATAGCACAGGGATACAGAGACATAGCACAGGGATACAGAGACATAGCACAGGGATACAGAGACATCACAGGGTTACAGAGACATAGCACAGGGTTACAGAGACATAGCACAGGGTTACAGAGACATAGCACAGGGTTACAGAGACATCACAGGGTTACAGAGACATAGCACAGGGATACAGAGACATAGCACAGGGATACAGAGACATCACAGGGATACAGAGACATAGCACAGGGATACAGGCATAGCACAGGGGTACAGAGACATCACAGGGATACAGGCATAGCACAGGGATACAGAGACATCACAGGGGATACAGACACATCACAGGGATACAGAGACATAGCACAGGGATACAGAGACATCACAGGGATACAGAGACATAGCACAGGGATACAGGCATAGCACAGGGATACAGCGACATAGCACAGGGATACAGAGACATCACAGGGATACAGAGACATAGCACAGGGATACAGACACATCACAGGGGTACAGAGACATAGCACAGGGATACAGAGACATAGCACAGGGATACAGACACATCACAGGGATACAGAGACATAGCACAGGGGATACAGAGACATCACAGGGATACAGAGACATAGCACAGGGATACAGACACATCACAGGGATACAGAGACATAGCACAGGGTTACAGAGACATAGCACAGGGGATACAGAGACATAGCACAGGGTTACTGAGACATAGCACAGGGGATACAGACATAGCACAGGGATACAGAGACATAGCACAGGGGATACAGACATAGCACAGGGGTACAGAGACATAGCACAGGGGTACAGAGACATAGCACAGGGATATACAGACATAGCACAGGGGTACAGAGACATAGCACAGGGATACAGAGACATAGCACAGGGGATACAGAGACATAGCACAGGGATACAGAGACATCACAGGGATACAGAGACATAGCACAGGGATACAGACACATCACAGGGATACAGAGACATAGCACAGGGTTACAGAGACATAGCACAGGGGATACAGAGACATAGCACAGGGTTACTGAGACATAGCACAGGGGATACAGACATAGCACAGGGATACAGAGACATAGCACAGGGGATACAGACATAGCACAGGGGTACAGAGACATAGCACAGGGGTACAGAGACATAGCACAGGGATACAGAGACATAGCACAGGGGATACAGACATAGCACAGGGATACAGAGACATAGCACAGGGGATACAGAGACATAGCACAGGGGATACAGACATAGCACAGGGGATACAGAGACATAGCACAGGGGATACAGACATAGCACAGGGATACAGAGACATAGCACAGGGATACAGGCATAGCACAGGGATACGGCGACACAGCACAGGGATACGGCGACACAGCACAGGGGATACGGCGACACAGCACAGGAATACGGCGACACAGCACAGGGGATACGGCGACACAGCACAGGGATACGGCAACATAGCACACAGATACGGGGACATAGCACAGGGGATACGGCGACATAGCACAGGGGATACAGGAACATAGCACAGGGGTACAGGGACCTAGTACAGGGATACAGGAACATAAAAGGGGTACAGGAACATAGCCCAGGGGATACAGGAACATAGCCCAGGGGATACAGGAACATAGCCCAGGGGATACAGGGACATAGCACAGGGGATACAAGGACATAGCACAGGGGTACAGGGACCTAGCACAGGGATACAGGAACATAGCACAAGGGATACAGGGACATAACAAAGGGAAACAGGGACGTAGCACAGGGATAAAGCAACATAGCACAGGGATACGGCGACACAGCACAGGGGATACGGTGACGTAACACAGGAATAAAGCGACATAGCACAGGGGATACAGGGACATAGCACAGGGATACAGGGACATAACACAGGGGATACGGCGACATAGCACAGGGGATACAGGGACATAGCACAGGGATACGGGAACATAAAAGGGGTACAGGAACATATCACAGGGGATACAGGGACATAACAAAGGGGTACAGGAATATAGCACATGGGATACAGGGACATAGCACAGGGGATACAGGGAAATAGCACAGGGGTACAGGGACCTAGCACAGGGATACAGGAACATAAAGGGGTACAGGAACATAGCACAGGGGATACAGGGACATAAAGGGATACAGGGATGTAGCACAGAGATACAGGGACGTAAATGGGATACAGCAACATAGCACAGTGGATACAGGGACATAGCACAGGGGTAGAGGAGCATAACAACAGGGTACATGAACATAAAGGGGAATAGGGACATAACAAAGGGGATACAGCGACATAGCACAGGGGATACAGCGACATAGCACAGGGGATACTGGGACATAGCACAGGGGTACAGGGACCTAGCACAGGGATACAGGAACATAGCACAGGGGATACAGGGACATAACAAAGGGATACAGGGACGTAGCACAGGGATACAGGGACATAAAGGGGATACAGCAACATAGCACAGTGGAGACAGTGACATAGCACAGGGGTAGAGGAACATAACAACGGGGTACATAAACATAAAGGGTAACAGAGATGTAGCACAGGGAAACGGACATAACAAAGGGGATACAGCAACATAGCACAGGGGTCCAGGGACCTAGCACAGGAATACAGGAACATAAAGGGGTACAGGAACATAGCACAGGGGATACAGGGATGTAGCACAGGCATACAGGGACATAACAAAGGAGATACAGCAACATAGCACAGTGGATACAGGGACATAGCACAGTGGTACATGAACATAACAAAGGGGTACAGGAACATAGCACAAGGATATAACAAAGGGGTACAGGAAAATAGCACAGGGATACAGGTACATAACACAGGGGATACAGGGACATAACAAAGGGGTACATGAATATACCACAGGGACATAACAAAGGGGTACATGAATATACCACGGCGATACACAGACATAGCTCGGTAGGATTCTGATACGGTCTAGTATTATTAGGGGAAATCACTATTAGGGAGACAATTAATGTATATGTGATGTATATCAAGTAATGTGTGAGTGTCATGTCTTCATAACACTGCATAACTGTGAGTGTGTAGATAGAGAAATATTTGTTATTGTTTGTTACAGTTGCGCTCAAAAGTTTGCATACCCTGGCAGAAATTTTGGCATTGAATTTGAAAATATGACTAATCATGCAAGAAAAAATATTTTATAGGGAGGTTGGTGATCATATGAAGCCATTTATTATCACATAGTTGTTTGGCTCCTTTTTAAATCATAATGATAACAGAAATCACCCAAATGGCCCTGAAAAAAGTTTATATACCCTTGAATGGTTGGCCTTATTACTGACACACAAGGTGACACACACAGGTTAAAATGGCAGTTAAATGTTAATTTCCCACATCTGTGGCTTTTTAAATTTCAATTAGTATCTGTGTGTAAATAGTCAATGAGTTTGTTAGCTCTCACGTGAATGAACTGATCAGGCTAGATACTCAGTCAAGGGGAGCAGAAAAGAACTGTCAAAAGACCTGCGTAAATGTAATAGAACTTTATTTTTTATTTTTATTATTGTTTATTTTTGCATTCCAATAGACAGTGATCACAAGCCAAACAAAAACAGTGCGTTTACAATAAGGTCACAACACACTCCTACAAAAGGTTGATAAGCATACAAAGAATCACAGCAATCAACAAGAGATCCCCAGACTGTTATCATAAGCACTTTGCATGTCCACAGCATGATTATATATTTTTGTAAAGTATAAGTAAAGTAAAAAGTGTAAAGGGCAGCAAGAACATTGAACCAAGCTTCTGATACCCCCCTGCCTCTGGTGCGCAATAGTCATCTAGTGGGCCTCTTTATCTATGCCGAAGATGCCTTCTAGGCGATACGCATATGTCCATTATCTATCATCTGCCTAGTGTATAGAAATCTGATGCGCTCTGAATAAAAGAGGGGAGGAAAGGGTTGTGAATGCCGTCAAGTGGAACCCATCAGGAACATGCGGAAACATCCCACGTAGGGCCCTTTTATGCCTCTTCCAGCCGGGGGACCCACCCACTCCCTATGGGTGTCGTACTGGGGGCAGGGTTCGGGATGGTAATAGAACTATATATAAGGATGGAAAAGGATATAAAAAGATATCCAAAGCCTTGAAAATGCCAGGTCCAGGTCAAATTGTGTATTACGTGCTGTAGTAGCTGCAAACTAGCACCTGGTGCTATCAACTTCAGCACGCAATGAGCACAGAGATCTGCCTCTCTCATTTGCAGGCAGCGCATCTTACGGTCGCTCCGTTGCTTCTCCTGTACTCTGAGTCAAGAGGATGGGGGGCGGAGCTGAGAGAAAGTCAAGGCAACCAGGAGCAGTCTAGAAGCCTGTGACCCATGGAGACATCAAATGAAGGCAAGAAAGGGACTTAATAGTGTGTGTGATTTAAAGAATGTGTATCAGCCTGCTTCAATCGGAGTGTGTGTGCTTTGGTCAGTGTGTCTGCTTGGGTCAGTGTGTATGTGTTTGCATAGGTCAATGTGTGTGTGTTAGCCTGCATCAGTCAGTGTGTGTGTGTCTACTTGGGGCAGTGTGTGTGTGTGTGTGTGTGTGTCTAATAGGGCCAGTATGTGTGTCAGTCTACATGAGTCTGTGTGTGTGTGTGTCGCTCTGCACTAGTCAATGAATTTGTATGGTAAGGTAATGTTTTATCTTGTGGGGTTAAACCTTCAGGACCATTGTGGAGCGAATGGGGCGGCAAAAATCCTTGCACCAGCCATGTGTCAGGTAGACCAAAAAATATTTCAACCACAACTGCCAGAAGAATTGTTCTGGATAAAAAGAAAAACCCACAGGTAACCTCAGAAGAAATACAGGCTCTGGGAAAAAGACAGTGTGGTTGTTTCAAGGATACTTGAACAAAAATAAGCGGAATATAACAGAACCTCGCCACAGGCTTTTGGAGGTGCCTGCTTGCGAGCCTCCTGCCAAAAGACTATGGTCAGCGACTGTAAAGACCCATATTTTCCCCCCCTGGTTCGCCACTTTCCATAAAACCGAATGCTAGCTCACTGGCGGCCATTCGCATGGACCAAAACCGCGAATAACCTTCAAGGATACTTAGTCGCAAATGCCCAGGAACTATTTTCGGCATGAAAACTTCGCGGTTCCTAGTTGGTCCCCCATTGGCACTTAGCCACGATTCTATGGAACTGTTTTGGGCATGGGACCATGCATGCGGTTGGCCAAAACTATGACTTACAGGAAATTCCTGAAGCCCTGAACCGATCTGGGTGATTTTTGGATATGTTGTTCACCCAGATCGGGCTATCAGGGGGTGTAATTTGTTGGGTGTTTGTTTTAAAGGTACTTTATAGTTTTATAAAATTGTGTGTTTTTTGTGTGTGGAGATAATTGAGTTAATACAGTACTTGACTCAATAATCTCCCAGGTACAGAGGAGGGATTGACCTAATTATGTGTGAGAGTGTCCTGGATCTGAGAGCCAATGTAATTGTGTATTTGTTTTTACTATGGTTTACTCTCAGGTTCAGGGGGGAGAGCCCCTTGCACGGGGACTGTCATAAAAGGCTAAGTGTGATCCCATTAAAGTTGAGATCACTTCACCCTCAACACACAGCCTCGACTCGTGATTGTAGGGAACAGCTATATCTGCTTCAGATTACTATACTGGCTATAATCACTAACTCTTGTAAGAGCTACACAGCTATACCTGCTATACTCTCTGGAGTAGGAGAGGTCCACCCACTGGAAGCTGGATCCTGGGCTTGGGTCCAGGGTGGATGGAGGACAGCAAGACCCCAGCCAAGCTGCAGCGGCTAAGGGGCTACAGTGCTTGGTGTCCGGTGCTCCAGGCTACTATGAAGCAGCGATTGGCGAAGGCACCCAGTCGGGGTGCCAGGTGGTCTGTCACAAGCTGCATGGTTGAATTGCCAGAAAGAAGCCTTTACTGTGCCAATGCCACAAAAAAGCCTGGTTACAATATGCCCAACAACACCTTGACACACCTCACAGCATGGTGGTGGCTCACTGATGTTTTGAGGGGTGAACTCTAAAGGCACGGGGGATCTTGTGAAAAAGATGAATGCAGCATGTTATCAGAAAATACTGTCAGACAATTTGCATTCTTTTTCAAGAAGGCTGCGCTCTTGGACTTTCCAGCATGGCAATGACCCTATGCACAAGGCCAAGTTGACCTTCCAGTGGTTACAGCAGGAAAGGGTGGAGGTTTTGGAATGGCCATCACAGTCTTGTGACCTTAATATCCATTGAGCCACCCTGGGGTGATCTTGTGCAGTTCATGCAAGAGGACCAAAGACTTTGCATGACCTGGAGGCATTTTGCCAAGATACACCAATGTAAAATTGCCAAACACTGTATGGATCCAAAGACTGTACTATGTCCTGTTGTAAAACGCTGTAAATCTTGCATATCTCGAATAAAAACTCAAAAAAGTATATACAAATCCTGCTCAAATTCCTCAATGAAATCTCAAAAACAGAAGCAGCTGGCCAGGCTGCCTGAGATTAGAGGATATACTGTGTGCAAAGGGAGTATAAAGTGTGTAGGGGATAGGGAATTTGGTGTGGGGTATGTATAGGGCATATGAAAGGGCTTAATTAGTAATCTCATTATTATATTTTAAATTAAATAAATATTAAACAAATAAATAAGTCCGCCCTCCCTGTTGTTATTTTGCAAGGTGAGGCCTTCTGATCCATGTTGGTCCATTGCAATGCTCTCATAAGTTCCAGGACTTGAAATGTCAGAGCTTTGAGTCCTGTGGCAATGCTCTGACACCAACTGCTGGCCCTCACAAGATTTACACATGATCTGCAATCAGCAGAAGAGCAGACCAAAGGGCAAAGGCTGACTCGCTCCCCCTGGTATTAAGTATTCACTGGGTTGTTGATCTTCCTACCAGTCCATTAAGGAATTATGAGATCTCTTCGGGCTTGTGCTGCTTTGCATGAACCAGCTGGAGAGATTCTTTTATCCAAAGGCCAATTGCTACTTCGGCCAAATGGCTATTTTGGATCTGGCTACAGAGCTGCATAGCTCCTAGCTTAGTACAAGTGCTCCTAACGATGCTGGAAGACTCAGGGGAATAAATTCATTCAATACCTGAAATGTAGAATTTCTGGATCATTAGCAGACTGTTTTTTTTATATTTCTAGTACAGAAGTGATATTCATAGACCTACCCATTTGCTGAGTGACATTCCTAGCAAGCATTTGTTTTCTCTCTCTTTTGTTTTAATTTTTTTTTTTATATATTAGTGCACTAACTCATTTGTTCCACTTCTAACGATACGCTACTCTTCCTAGGGCCATCCACCAGTCACCGGTCAGTGTGTGAGTGTCTGCATGTGTCAGTGAGTGTGTGTGAGTTTCATTTAAAAAAAAATCAACAATTTTAAATTGTGGTACTTTGTACCCACCCACCACAAACACTTGCTGAGATTTATTGGAATAAAACTGTGGTGGAATTTCAGTGAATGTAAATTTAGTTGGCCAAGATTTCCATGTGGCATATGCTTATGGATATAGAACTCCGATATATATGCTCAACCGCATTATTAGACTACAGGCAGTGGTTGAGATTATTACTAATGAGACAGCTCAAGCGCTTAATCTTCTAGCTAAGCAAAATACCAGGATGAGATCAGCCATCTATCAAAATAGATTAGCTTTAGATTATCTATTAGCAGTGGAAGGAGGTGTATGCGGAAAGTTTAACCTTAGCAACTGTTGTTTGCAGATAGATGATGAAGGTCAGGCAGTGGCTGAACTTACTAGTCACATGGTTAAACTTGCGCATGTACCGACTCAGGTCTGGAATGGGTATAATCCTAATAGTTGGTTTGGAAGCTGGTATGAGCAGCTTGGAGGAATTAAGGCGTTAGTAGGAGGAGTAGTGTTTATCATATTCTTATGTCTTTTTCTGCCCTGTCTAATTCT